GGCGCGCGCAGCGCGTCGCCGCGGACGCGGGCGCAGACGGGCGACGGGCAGCGGGGGGCGAGGAGACGCGCGAAGACCCCCATGCCCACGTTCCGCAAAATTTGGCACCCCGAGAAACACACCGGTTCGAGAAGGGAGTTGTTGGATAATCGAAGGGCGAAACACTGACCCAACTCACGCGGACGAGGGTCGGCTCGGACTGTCCAGTGCCCTCGTGGCCGCCCCCATTTAGTGTCACATGTGGGCGCTGAGCACATGAAGATACATGCGTTGAAGATTGGCATGCTTCTAATACTTCTTGCCTGCCGGGAAGATCGCGAAACGTGGGCGCCGTGAACTTTTTCCCGGGGCTCGCCATGATGGTGGAGTCCGCGCAGCGCAGGCCATGTCCCTGTGGAATCGCTTCTGGGGCAAATGAGTTCATGGGCCAAACATACTCTACTGGACTTAAGATTCTCTCAGGCCGCCGCCAATCTCACTTCCGACGCCACGTGCCAATTGTCCATAATGGTGCACAGAAGGCTGTTATCCGTGATCACCTCGTCATCACAGCGCTGAGCCAGGCCGGGGAACCCCATCGCAGCGGCTGCTCGTGCAGCGGAGGTGGCCACCGCCCATGACGCTTACGAGCGCGGGGCCAGGGCGCGCATGGGAACCCGGGCCAGAGCGGCGCCGCGCCTCGAAGTCCTCGCGACGCCTCCGCGCGCGCCGCAGGCCTGCCGAGAACCTCGGGGCATCTAAAATCCTTGTCTGGGCCCCGACGGATGCCCCAGCCTTCGATCGCGAGCCCCTGGCAGCAGAGGGCTTCGCAGAGCTAGCTGGCGCCGCTGATAAGCTCGAGCGCCAGCGCATTCTGGGGGGCCCGCAGCAAGTTGCCCCGGCCCGGAGAGTTCTGGGTCTCGACCAGGAGGGCGCGCAGATGCGCAGGGCGAAGTGGACCTGCGTCCTCCGGGCCGCGCGTGTCCGCTGCTCCTCCCGCCGCGCGCGCGCGCGCCTCGCGCCCCCGGGCCATCTCGGAGCCCAGCGCCCACCTGCCGGCCCGGCGAGCGTCGAGGGCGGCGCGGGGGTTTGCGCGGCAGTCGCGGCCAGGGCCGCCGCCGCGAAGCTGGCGCGTCGCGAAAAAGCGACGCTGGATCTCCACGCCCCGCCGGGCACCTTGAGGCGGCCGACGTCCGCGCGCGGAGAGGCCGAGAGCAGCGGGGCCAACGGGTCGCGGGCGCCGAGCAGCTCTGGCGCGGCTCCGAACCGCGGCGCGCCCCGGCCGGCGAGAAGGGCGAACTCGCTCGCCAGACCCGCTTCGGCTGCCTCCCGGCGCTCCCGCTGGCGAAGGTTGAAGGCGCATGAACCTGGCGAGCCGCCCGGGGCCGCGAGGTCGCCCGCGCGGATCTTGCTCGGCTCGCGCGGCCCTGGGCGCCCGAGGGGGGCGAGGGCTGCCGGGGGGCGGGCGCCGACCCCGCGCGAGCGGGGCACGCGCGGGGCCATCGCGGCAGTCGGCCCCCGCGGCAGCGGAGCCGACGCCGGCCCGGGCTCGCGCTTGGCCCGACCTCGCGGCGATCGCCGAACTCGCGGGGGCCTCGCCCGCCCCCTCGAGAACGTCAGCATGGCAAACGCGAAGCTCGCGCACACCCCCCGCGCCTCGCGGCGGACCCCCGCCCCGCGTTTCCCGATTCGGCGATGTGGCCTCGAAGAGCGGGGTGCCCTGGTCGAGGATGCCTGGGACGTCTTTTATGAACTCCCTCCCATATGCCCCCTCGCCGCCCCGGGGCCTCGCGACTGTTCGGGGGCGCCCGCGGGGCGTCGACGAGCGCGAATGGGCCGACGGCGCTGGTCGCATCTCGGCCCGCGGGCCCGGCGCCTCGCGGGAAGGGGGCGCGGGCGTCGACGCGCGGGCGACGAGCACCGCGGGCCGCTGGGCGCGAGGAAGATTGAGGCCGATGCCACAGCAGCCCTGCGCTAAAGTCTTGGAAGTGGGCTTAGAAGGCATCCGCCAGCGCCAGAAGATCGCGCCACTCTAATTAGGTAGACACGAGATCCTCCCACGGCATTCCAGGATCCAGACACTAGAGCCCCCCTTGCCAAAGCCGGAGCAGTCCCAATGTTGCCCCTTCAGAATGAGATGTAGCACCCAAGAGTTTCTTACTGGTAGTTGGGGCATGGTTGCTGCAGCGATGCCACGGGCCTCCAGGGCCCTGGGGGTCTGTCACGCGGGCTGCAAACAATGCCCCCGAGATGCCTTATTAGATGAGCGACGCTGCGTTTCTGGAAACTCCGGATTGCCCACCGAATCATCCCATATCTCTTGACGAGTAAGGAGCTCGACAGTACTTACATCGCGAAGTGGATCAAGCGGAGGCAGGGTGTGAGCACGGGCTCGATGCCCCCCCACTCGGCACTTCAACTTTTCGCGAACGCTACAGACGGTGGCCACGTCCTCCGTCGAGCAGGCGGATGCGCGCACCACGATGCCTGCCCTGTCAACGCCGGAGGCATCGACGTTTTCGCGCCGCGTCCTATGCAGAAGCAACAACAAAAAACGACGCCACCGTGGGGGCAGCGCGCCACGTCGCCTCTCGCGCAGCGGCGGGCCATACTCGAGATTTCTTGGGCCCCGAAGAAGCATTGGCGGAGTAGCGCGAGGCCCTGAGCACGCCTGACAACTCCCTTGCGAGCAGGAAACAGTCCACGATGAAACCTAGGAAAGCTGCCGAACCTGTTATTCAGAAGCTTTCGGCCTCCTCGAAAACCATAGCCGCGCCTGTCTGAGTCGTTCCCGCTTTTCAAGCCTATGCTCGAAAACGCCCCGGTCCCCGTCGATGCGTCGATCCAAACTCTCGCACAAGGTGCCCGCCCCCGTCCCCTCGTGAACCCTGGGCCCCGCCTGCATGAAACTCTTACGCGCCCCCTCCTTCACCTCCTGGACGCAACCCGCGTTGCTGCCAACCGCGTTCGGGTTAACGCAGAAAGGGGGACAACGACGCGTTCATCGGAACTGGCAGGGAACGGGTTGTTCTTGAAACCCTTGGGCTAAGCAAAAAGGCCAACTTCAAACCCACTGAACCTGCTGTCAGACGCGAGCAGATACGATCCCTTTTCCAAACCGCCTTCGGCGATAAACTTGTTTGGCGCCCCCGCCCCCTCAGACAGTGCGCTGGAATGGGGTGCAGGACCGAATAGTCACGCAACCCCAGCACATGCCCCAAATCATGAAAATAGCCCTAGACATCCGCCATGGCAACAAGAAAGCGGCCCCGCAAATCCCGTGAACCGGGCGTCTCCAACTCCGACGGCACCCGTCTCGTCCGCATGCGTAGTCTAGACCAGGCGGCAACGGTGCCCATCTGCTTCGACACGGGACTTGGGAAACGTAAGTTAGCCAGACGACAGTCGCAAACCATAACTACACAGTTAACCGTTCTTCTTGGTAGCGATGAAAGGGGTGACGGTGTCCCTGGGGGACCTGGTGAACTCGAGCACGCCCCTGTCCCAGAGGTTCCGGACGAACTGGTGGTGAAGCTTACGCGCGTCAGCTAGATTGCGGTCCACGCACGGAAGATGAAACAATTTTCCACAACGACACAGTCGCCAAGAACACGTCACACACACTCCTCAAATCCTCTGGCTAAACTCGAACCCCCTCTCATCCAACATGTCCTAAATGGAGGGCGCCCCAGGGCCCACTTCAGGAATGGACGCCAAGGCGCGGCCATAGGGTCGGGCTGTGCAAGTTGCCTCCTCGCCTGGCACATGCGAGAAGCTGGTGGCCAGGAGCTCGCGAGCGGCTCCACGGCGGGTGTATACTGAAAAGGGCGGTGGCACGACGGATCAGCGAGGGCACCGCGTCTTGGGCTGCCCTCCGCAAGGCTGCAACAGGCGATGCCGCCGCAAAACAAGAAGGTAACATACCGTTCATCGACCTGATGACCCCGTTGGCGGAAACCACGCGGGAACCAAGGCGGCGAGTGGCGAGCTGACCCAGACCGACTGCGGCAGGCGGAGCCCCACCAGCATCACCCCGTCGCGGAACAGCTGACTCAGTTACGATCGGGGACCTGGCGGAAACGATCGATGCGCTCGCTCCGAACTTCGTGAGGTTTGGTCTCTTGAGGCCGTATCCACTTGACACGAATCAGATTTGCGCTCGCTGCTGACAGCTCCTCATCGTGATGATCCCCATCAGGGGTGCACACGGCACACAAACCTGGCGTACCTGGAAAGATGGCCGTGACGAGGCGATCGTGCCAGTCCTTGCTAGTCATAACGCGCAATCACATAGTCCCCAGCCTTCGCGAGCATCTGCGAATGAGGCCGAGCTGAGACCTGACCCAGTGGGCAACATCAGCGAACTCGTCCTCATTCCCACGCCTGTAGTGGCACGGCTCAAGAAAACCTCCGGTGAGGATACCGACCACGAGCACGATGAACACCCAGAAGAAGAGCCAGAACATCGTTGGCGGACTCGGCGGCAATGTCGAGATGGAAGGAGAACACACGCAGTCAGGACAGGAAGGGCACGGCGGGCACGCTGGGATCAACGAACAAGTCAACGGCGATAGGACTTGCGACAGAAGAGAAAGTTGTCAAATAATCTGAAGGCCTGCGTCAGGTTGTCCTGAAGGTGTCTTGAGACCTCAACGACACCCATCCACCTCGATGTGAGAATAATAACTTGATCCTAAATAACTATAGGGCGAAGCACCTTGTACTGCACACTCGCAAAGCATGAAGGTACAAATCTATAACATCATCAACATGAACATCATGATCTGCATCAGCATCCACATCAACATCAGCATCAACATCACCATCGTCTCTATTTTAATCGCACCATGATTATCACCGTCGCCGTCGTCGTCCATGATTTCGCCGTCGTCTCAAATTCATCCTCCCGTGCACATCCTCCGAAGTACTATATTCTGCCTCTTCCCCCTCCCTATCTTCATCCGCCTGCCCCTTCCGCATCCGTACCGTATAGAAGTCACGGGTACTTGGTTTCAACCTGCCATCCTTCGACGGCGGGACATGCACCTTGATTTCGTTCGCCTCGAAGAAAGCCTTGGCCTCATCTGCTGACAATTTGCCGCCAGTGTCCTTGCCAGCTTTGCCAGCCTTCTCGACAGACTCTGTGGCGGCCTCGGCGGAGTCCGAAACACCGATGTGCTCGTGGCACCGAATTTGAAGGGGGAAGGGAGGGACCACGAGTGCCACCTAAGCCAACTCCATCACCACGCCCCCCCTTCAAAGTCAAGATGTGGTGGCACGTATCCTATACCTCCATTCCATTCGTCTACTCGCTCGCCCCAGGCCGCCCAACCTTCTTGGCCTTCTTCTTGCCTGGCGGCTGTGGCGTCTCCGCCGCAGGGCGCTTAGCACTGCCCATTCTCGGCAAATTGCGGAGGTGGCCGCTGCGCGCCAGAATGACCCCTCCTGGTCGTTCGGATCTCGAGCCGAGGTGGCCACGGGGATTCAAGGATGGAGGGGAAGAGCGGGCATTCCCTAGTGACGCAGAACCCGTCCATCTCGCCACAACATGCGCAAACGCGCGCCACACACGAATCGCCCCGTCGGCACACCGACGCAGACTGCAACGGCCTCGCCGCACATGTCCAGGAAAGCAAAGAATTATGTGTTGCGCGCGTGGGGGTTCAAGCCAGCACAAGCCAAGAGCTGTATCATTCAACGGCATTGTGGGTGGTTGGAGGCTGGCCGCCACACGGAGTGTTGGGTAGGGAAATGGAGACATGTTCTAGACAGATGCAGCAGATCAACAAACATGAAGGGACACGAGCCAGTACAGCTATCCCGTGCATACACATACGCATGACGATGACGAGACGTATTCCGCATGTAGATACAAATGGTGAGGGTCGCCCGTTTACTGTGCCGGCTGAACGCTGACGGGGTGCGGTCATGGCTTTCTCTCAATGCTGAAATGAACATGCGCACGCTTATCCATAGAGGCATATGCGTTGCGGCATACCAGCGAAAGACAATGCTGATTCGTATTCTGCACGTGGATACAAAGGTTGAGGGTCACCCGTTTACTGTACCGGAGAAACACTGCGGGGGTACGCTCACGGCCTTTTCTCAATACACAACAGTCCACGCACATGTATACCACTAGAGGCAGATGCGTGCGGCATCCATGCGCACGGAAGAGGCACTTGAATGTAATGCTGCACGTAGCGACCCGAGGGAGACCACCACTCTTGACACACCAAGAGAACACTAGTGAACGTGACCATGCTCAGCCTCCTGTTCCTCCTCGTCATCTGTTCTCCCATGTGGCTCCTGCGGCGATCAGTTTCCCTTCAAGTAAATGAGACCCTTCAGGACCTTCACCACGATGGTGTTTGGTATTATCTGCTCAGCCACCTCACATCCACGCGTTGGCACCGGAGCACACAAGGCCCAGCAGCATTCCATCCAGCCTAAACGAAGCCACTTCACCGAATTCTCCTACTGTCGTGGGTATTGTCGACAAGGTCGCTGACACGTTCAGGAGAAGGTCATGACGATCATCCAAATGTAGCGTTTGGGAGGATCCCCCATGCCTTCATCGACCGACGTCTGAGTCTCGCAAAAGCTGGCAAGTGCTACTACATAGTCAAAGTGCTCATTTGACCACCACTGTCGACCAGCAGCAATGGCAAGAAACACCATTCGATTCTGTGACTCCGCTCACGGGCCCCGAGCCCCCACGGGCGCCCATCAACAATACAAAAATCGAGTCGAGAGACTCAACGCACACGCACACACACACACACACACACACACACACACACACACACACACACGCGAACCCGTAGCCGCATCTCATAATGGTCCAACCAGCCCTTTGGGGCGAGAGTGGCTACGCGGATTTCCTCTTCCAACCCCCGTCAGGAGTTTACCCCTCCCCCATATCCCCTCCCGTTGAACCTGGACGGGGCGTTCCGCGGGTCGCATGAGCGTCCAAGGTGGCCGTGGCGAGAAGACCACAATCATTGATTTCACCACGGTTTGGGCGACATGTTGGTCTCCTGGAGCAGAGACCCTAATTAAGGAACTCCCCACCATATGATCGGTATCCTGCGGCCCCCGAGGCTCCTGGAGGTGCCCCAAGAGGGCCCCAAGAAGTGCCCAAGAGGCTCTCGAGAGACCCCACGGGGCTCCCAAGAGGCCTGCCAGTGGCACGCACTACGCCCCAAGTGCGACCCCAATGAAGGAGTCCCACTGGTTTGATCGATCTCCTCCAAGATGGGCCCCCCGAGGCTCCCAAGGGCGCCCCAAGACGGCCACAAGAAGTGTCCAAGAGGCCCCAAGAAGCCCCTACGTGCCCCCAAGAGGCTCCCAAGAGACCCCAAGAGGTCCCAAGAGGCCCCCCAGAGGCACGCACAACGCCCCAAGTGGCCTCGGAGAGAAGGTGAACATCACTGATGTTACTAAGATTTGGGCCACATGTTGGCCTCCTGGGGGAGCGACCTTGATTGAGGAGCCGCACTCATTTGATCATTTCCCCCAAGATGGCCCCATGATGGCCCCCGAAGCTTCCGCGCGCGCCCCAAGACGGCCTCGGGAGGCCCCCCCAAGATGCCTCCAAGGGGCTCTCAAGAGACCCCCAAGAGGCCCCCAGAAGCGCCCAAGACGCCCCAAGAGGCCCCCAGGACTGCCGAGAGACCGCGCGCCGACGCGCCGCGCTCAGGAGGAGCTCCACTGGCCGCCCGAGGGGCGGCGCAGCCGCGCAAGCCTGGAGGGGGGAGGGGGGGCGGGAGGGGGGGGGGAGGGGCAGAACGGCGCAAGTCCCCGGGCGCGGAAGGCAGCCGCGCAACGCGTGCTCCTTCAGCCTCAGCGAGGCCGGGAGGGCGAGGAGGGGGGCCGAAACACTGCAGAGACCGCGCGGGGGAAGTCGCAGATAATATGAAGAGCATTCTCTCGCCCCGCCCAGGCCAGCGGTCTCCGCGCGCGCGCGCGCCGACGCGCCCGCGTGCGGCGGCGGGGCAGACCTGCCGCCGCGCGCGGGGGCGCCGCCGCGCCGCGCTCAGGAGGAGTTTCCCTGGCCGTCCGACGGGCGGCGCAATCGCGCCCACGCTCGAAGCCCCTGCGAAGTGACGAGGTTTTGGCGGGCGGCCGCAAGCTGGATGGACCAGGCAGAAGACTCCGCGAGCAGGTAAGGGGAAAAGCAACTGCCGCCAGAGGCTAAGAACATCACCTGAGTCCCGGCGGCCTCGGAGAACGACGCAAGGGCAGCAGCCGCTTGAAGGCCGCGCTCAGCACTCGATGCTCGGCGCCACCTGCCTCGCCAGAAGACGAGGGGCGTCTTCTTTAGCGATGTAAAAGTCAAGTGGCACCTGGGCCTCAAAGACAACCAGAAGTCAAGTTCAATCCAGCGGCGGCTTTGGCGAGCGGGACGCCCAAGGCCGAAGGCGAATGGTCCCGCCGAGCACGGCAACCGCTGGCCCCGAATGGGGCGAGCGGATCGACGGGGGCGGGGTGTCCAAAAACACGTTCGAACAGGTCCACCGACCGACGACCCGAACACCTCGCATGCTGAGCGGGGTAGGAGCGACGGGTCTTAGGCGCAGCGATGGCCAGAAAAGTGCCGCCTGTCGCTTCGAGACGGTCAGGCGGCAAGGAAAGGTCGCGCCGTCTCGCTTTCGTGAATTTCCCCAGGGTGGAGGAACATACTGAAACCGAGCAGCAGCAGGGCGGCCATGTCTGGCCAGTTCCAAATGAGGCAGAGGCCAAACATTGCGCGCAAAAGGGCGCGCGGCAACGTTGGGCGAAGCTTGGGGGCTCTGCAACCTTCCCCTGCTTAGCGACGCCCCAAGCTTCGGTGAGGAACGCCTTCCAATTGGGATGCGCTGACTGGACGCCCAGCAAGGCATGCACAAGGGTGTAATGGGGGAAGACCAGCGTCGTGCAGCCAGACTCCGAAGGTGGCTAACGCTCGCGCCAGGAGCACGCCACTTCGGTAGCGCGTGGTCGGAGCAACCCGGGAGTGCTCGACGACCCGCAGCTCGACCTCATCAACCGATCGTGATCTGCGATCGCGGCACTCGGGAGTCAAATGGGGATCCCGAACGAAAGGCGTGCGAGAGGCGCGGTGTCGCGCGGTGCTAAGCCCGCGCCTAGGCGGCGCGGCGTCGGCCGCTGGGGCTGAGGGCCCCCCAGCGGATACGTGCTCGCACGGCCCGCGCGCGCGCCAGAGCGGCAGGGCGTGCGCGGGTCCTCGGCTGCCCCGAAGGGCCCCCGCCGTTCGCGCGACGCGAAGTACGACGGCAACCTCTCCTCGTCGACTCCTGAGCGGACCAGGGTCTCAGCGCGCGCCACTGCGAAGGAGTCGTCCGTCGCGTCCACGACGCCCCTCGCGATCGCCTCGACCTCCGAGGGCGCGCGGAGCAGCGCGGTCTCGATGGCGGCCCAGGGAAAGGGGGCAGGCGGACCAGCAGGGCGCGCCTCACGAGCACGGGCGCGCAGTTTCGCCCCCAGCTCGGCCGCGCCCTGCCATTGCGACACGCCCGACAACGATGTCGGGTGGGGCACGCTGCAGATGGCTCGATACCCGTCGAGCAGCTCCGCAGGTGCCTCTCTGTTGGGCCGCAGGCGTGGCGGGAGCAGCTCGGCTTTCTCGGAGAGGTGCGCAAACAGGTCGTAGACGCAGGCCTGGCAGGCCGCGCGACGCCGCTGCACGACGCCGTTGCCCAAGCCGATGCCCCCGATCCCTCCGACCGCTTTCTCGTCGATCTGAGGGTGCCCAATCAGCCCTGGGAGGGCCGCGGCGCTCATGGGCAACGGCCAACCAGGCTCCGAGAGAGGCACGACACCTCCATCGCCGAAGAGCCGCTGATAACTGCGCAGCACAGCGAGCAGGCATCCGAGATCGTCGACCTCGCGCGGCTCATCCGGGCCAGCAGGAGCGAAGTACCGCGGCGAAATGACAGCGTGCTGAAACAACTCTTTACGGTCCTCGGAGTACTGCACAACTGTCACCGGTTGCCCGCCACCTCCAGCCGCCAGCCAAGCGCCGCAGCCGCGGCAACCGGAATGGCGATCGGTTCTGGCGAGTCGTCTTGGCCCGGGGGCG